ACCAGGACTGAAGTAGGTCTAAACCAGGTCTAAACCAGGTCTAAACCAGGACTGAAGTAGGTCTAAACCAGGTCTAAACCAGGTCTAAACCAGGTCTAAACCAGGACTGAAGTAGGTCTAAACCAGGTCTAAACCAGGTGAAACCAGGTCTAAACCAGGTCTAAACTAGGACTCTAAACCAGGTCTAAACTAAAATCTAAACCAGGTCTTAAACAGGACCAGGTCTAAAACCAGGTTTCTAAACCAGTCTAAACCAGTCTAAACCAGGTCTAAACCAGGTAAACCAGGTCTAAACCTAGGTGGTTAAACCAGGTCTAAAAAAACCAGGTTGTCTAAAACCAGGTCTGGTTTAGTCCTGGTTAGTCCTGGTTTAGACCTGGTCCCAGGTTATAGTCCTGGTTTAAGTTTGGTTTAGTCCTGGTTTAGTCCTGGTTTAAGTCCCTGGTTTAGTCCTGGTTCAGTCCTGGTTAGTCAGTCTGGTTCAGTCCTGGTTTAGTCCCGGTTAGTCAGTTTAGTCCTGGTTTAGTCCTGGTTTAGTCCTGGTTTAAATCTCACTCGACTCTGATTTGATGAACTGTGGAATATTAAACTCTGTTAAAGTTTTATTCTGGGACATTGTGGGCGATAAAAGCAACGCGGCGAAACTTTATCTGCTCCTGTCAGCGATTCGACGGACCACAGGGACTCACCAGAGACCAAAGACCAAAGACCAGGGACCAAGGACCAAGGACCAGACCAGACCAGACCAGACCAGAGACCAGAGGACCGGACCAAGGACCAGACCAGACCAGACCAGAGACCAGACCAGACCAGACCAGACGGACTGGACCAAGGACCAGACCAGACCAGAGACCAGAGACCAAAGACCAAAGACTAAAGACTAAAGACTAAGACTAAGTCTTTTAGTCTTTAGTCTTTAAAGACCAAAGACCAGGACCAGAGGGACCAGACCAGACCAGACCAGACCAAAGACCAGACAAGACTAAAGACTAAAGACTAAAGACTATAGTCTTTAGTCTTTAGTCTTTAAAGACCAAAGACCGGACCAAGGACCACACCAGACCAGACCAGACCAGAGACCAGAGACCAGGGACTGGACCAAGGACCAGACCAGACCAGAGACCAAAGACCAAAGACCGGACCAAGGACCAGACCAGAGACCAAAGACCAGAGTCCAGAGACCGGACCAAGGACCAGACCAGAGACCAGAGACCAAAGACCAAAGACCAAAGACCAAAGACCAAAGACCAAAGACTAAAGACTAAAGACCAAAGACCAAAGACTGGACCAAGGACCACACCAGACCAGACCAGAGACCAGGGACTGGACCAAGGACCAGACCAGAGACCAGACCAGGACAGAGACCAGACAAGAGACCGGACCAGACCAGACTGGGTCTCAGTGTGATGTTCTGGAGTTAATGATGATTTTGATAAATGTTGATGAAGTTTCTCAGAGACCAGAAAGGACACAGACACAGAGAGGACACAGACACAGAGGACACAGACACAGAGAGGACACAGACACAGACACAGAGAGGACACAGACACAGTGAGGACACAGACACAGAGAGGACACAGACACAGAGAGGACACAGACACAGTGAGGACACAGACACAGACACAGAGAGGACACAGACACAGAGAGGACACAGACACAGTGAGGACACAGACACAGAGAGGACACAGACAGAGAGGACACAGACACAGTGAGGACACAGACACAGACACAGAGAGGACACAGACACAGAGAGGACACAGGAACACAGACACAGTGAGGACACAGACACAGTGAGGACACAGAGAGGACACAGACACAGTGAGGACACAGACACAGTGAGGACACAGTGAGGACACAGACACAGTGAGGACACAGTGAGGACACAGTGAGGACACAGACACAGTGAGGACACAGTGAGGACACAGACACAGTGAGGACACAGTGAGGACACAGTGAGGACACAGTGAGGACACAGAGAGGACACAGACACAGAGAGGACACAGTGACACAGACACAGTGACACAGACACAGTGAGGACACACAGTGAGGACACAGTGAGGACACAGACACAGAGAGGACACAGAGGACACAGACACATGAGGACACAGACACAGTGAGGACACAGAGAGGACACAGACACAGAGAGGACACAGACACAGACACGACACAGTGAGGACACAGACACAGTGAGGACAGTGAGGACACAGACACAGTGAGGACACAGAGAGGACACAGAGAGGACACAGACACAGAGAGGACACAGTGAGGACACAGACACAGTGAGGACACAGACACAGTGAGGAGACACAGTGAGGACACAGACACAGACACACAGAGAGACACAGTGAGACACAGACACAGACACAGTGAGGACACAGACACAGTGAGGACACAGTGAGGACACAGAGAGGACACAGTGAGGACACAGACACAGTGAGGACACAGTGAGGACACAGACACAGTGAGGACACAGTGAGGACACAGACACAGTGACCAGAGGACACAGTGACACAGACAGTGGACACAGACACAGTGAGGACACAGACTGAGGACACAGTGAGGACACAGAGAGGACACAGACACAGAGACACAGTGAGAGAGACACAGTGAGGACACAGTGAAACAGGAGACACAGTGAGGACAGACAGACACAGAGGGACACAGTGAGGACACAGACACAGAGGGACACAGGAGGACACAGTGACACAGTGAGGACACAGACACAGACACAGTGAGGACACAGACACAGAGAGGACACACAAACACAGTGAGGACACAGAGGACACAGACACAGTGAGACACAGACACAGACACAGGAGGACACAGACACAGTGAGGACACAGTGAGGACACAGACACAGTGAGGACACAGACACAGTGAGGACACAGACACAGAGAGGACACAGTGAGGACACAGACACAGTGAGGACACAGTGAGGACACAGACACAGTGAGGACACAGACACAGAGAGGACACAGTGAGGACACAGACACAGTGAGGACACAGACACACACAGAGGACACAGAGAGGACACAGTGAGGACACAGACACAGAGAGGACACAGTGAGGACACAGACACAGTGAGGACACAGTGAGGACACAGTGAGGACACAGAGAGGACACAGACACAGAGAGGACACAGTGAGGACACAGACACAGTGAGGACACAGACACAGTGAGGACACAGAGAGGACACAGACACAGAGAGGACACAGTGAGACACAGTGAGGACACAGACACAGTGAGGACACAGACACAGTGAGGACCACAGTGAGGACACAGTGACACAGAGGACACAGACACACAGTGAGGACACAGTGAGGACACAGAGAGGACACAGACACAGAGAGGACACAGTGAGGACACAGTGAGGACACAGTGAGGACACAGACACAGTGAGGACACAGTGAGGACACAGAGAGGACACAGAGAGGACACAGTGAGGACACAGTGAGGACACAGAGAGGACACAGAGAGGACACAGTGAGGACACAGTGAGGACACAGAGAGGACACAGACACAGTGAGGACACAGTGAGGACACAGACACAGTGAGGACACAGACACAGAGAGGACACAGACACAGAGAGGACACAGACACAGTGAGGACACAGTGAGGACACAGACACAGAGAGAACACAGACACAGTGAGGACACAGACACAGTGAGGACACAATGAGGTCACAGTGAGGACACAGAGAGGACACAGAGAGGACACAGACACAGTGAGGACACAGTGAGGACACAGTGAGGACACAGACACAGTGAGGACACAGTGAGGACACAGACACAGTGAGGACACAGTGAGGACACAGACACAGTGAGGACACAGTGAGGACACAGAGAGGACACAGACACAGTGAGGACACAGTGAGGGACACAGACAGTGAGGACACAGACACAGTGAGGACACAGTGAGGACACAGACACAGACACAGTGAGGACACAGACACAGTGAGGACACAGTGAGGACACAGTGAGGACACAGACACAGTGAGGACACAGTGAGGACACAGTGGACACAGTGAGGACACAGTGAGGACACAGTGAGGACACAGTGAGGACACAGACACAGTGAGGACACAGTGAGGACACAGTGAGGACACAGTGAGGACACAGTGAGGACACAGTGAGGACACAGAGGACACAGAGGACACAGTGAGGACACAGTGAGGACACAGAGGACACAGTGAGGACACAGTGAGGACACAGACACAGTGAGGACACAGTGAGGACACAGAGTCATTATGAGGTTCTGGTCGTTTTAGAGACTTTCTGTTTGTTTGTTTGATTTTCTGAACTACGTCCTGGTTTGATCTTCTCTCCTGTTCAGGTTCATGTAGATCTGCTCCGTCCCCGTGTTCTTCAGCCGTGTGTCCTCCTCGTCCTTCATCTGTCCTCGTCCTTCATCTGTCCTCGTCCTTCATCTCTCCTCGTCCTTCATCTGTCCTCGTCCTTCATCTCTCCTCGTCCTTCATCTGTCCTCGTCCTTCATCTGTCCTCGTCCTTCATCTGTCCTCGTCCTTCATCTCTCCTCGTCCTTCATCTCTCCTCGTCCTTCATCTGTCCTCGTCCTTCATCTCTCCTCGTCCTTCATCTGTCCTCGTCCTTCATCTCTCCTCGTCCTTCATCTGTCCTCGTCCTTCATCTTCCTCGTCTTCATCTGTCCTCGTCCTCATCTGTCCTCGTCCTTCATCTCTCCTCGTCCTTCATCTGTCCTCGTCCTTCATCTCTTCTCGTCCTTCATCTCCTCGTCCTTCATCTGTCCTTCTCGTCCTCGTTTTCATCTCTCTCTCCTTCATCTGTCTCGTCCTTCATCTGTCTCGTCCTTCATCTCCTGTCCTTCATCGTCCTTCATCTCGTCCTCTCTCTTCGTCTTCTCGTCCTTCATCTCTCCTCTTTCGTGTTTCTCCTCCTCAGATCTCATCGTCTTCGTCTCCGCCCGTGACCCTCAGCGCTCGACCGAAGCCCCGCCCCCCGCCCGTCCGCCCGCCCGGCAGCATGGAGGAGCAGCAGCCAATCAGCGCTCAGCCCGACTCCCAAGCCCCGCCCACCGCCGCGGAGGAGGGGCAGCACATGGAACACCTGACCGTGGCCGCCGACGCCTCCGAGAGCAGTAAGAGCCCAGAGTTTATGGAGTTTAGTGATTTAAACACGACGTGACCTGAGACGGAGGGACAAACGTCGCTTCTGCGGCGTTAAATCACACTGAAGTTTGGATTTTTGAAAGCCTAAAATAAATCGAATCAGTGTTTCCCACAAATCATTTTTATTTTAATAATTTCACCTCATTCAGTTTGTGGAGCGTAACTGTCAGACGGACAATATTTAATCGGTTTAAATCTTTTTTTTTGTGTCGTACTCGAGACCGCTTTTTTTTATGGTGTTTGGACTCTCGGTCTTGAAGGCGCTTGGTCTTGGTCTTGTCTCGGACTCTACCGCATTTGGACTCGGCCTTGTCTCGGTCTTGAAGAGGCTTAGTCTCGGTCTTGTCTCGGACTCGACTGCGTTTGGACTTGGCTTTGTCTCGGTCTTGAAGGTGCTTGGTTTTGGTCTTGTCTTGGACTGGACCGCGTTTGGACTCGGTCTTGTCTTGGTCTTGAAGGCACTTGGTCTTGGTCTTGTCTTGGACTTGACCGCGTTTGGACTCGGTCTTGTCTCGGTCTTGAAGATGCTTGGTCCTGGTCTTGTCTTGGACTGGACTGCATTTGGACTCTGTCTTGTCTCGGACTTGAAGGTGCTTGGTCCTGGTCTTGTCTCGGACTTGAAGGTGCTTGGTCCTGGTCTTGTCTTGGACTCGACCGCGTTTGGACTCGGTCTTGTCTCGGTCTTGTCTCGGTCTTGAAGAGGCTTAGTCTCGGTCTCGTCTTGGACTCGACTGCGTTTAGACTCGGTCTTGTCTTGGTCTAGAAGGCTCTTGGTCTTGGACTCGACTGCGTTTAGACTCGGTCTTGTCTCAGTCTTGAAGAGGCTTCGTCTCGGTCTTGTCTCGGACTCGACTGCGTTTGGACTTGGCTTTGTCTCGGTCTTGAAGGTGCTTGGTTTTGGTCTTGTCTTGGACTGGACTGCATTTGGACTCGGTCTTGTCTCGGTCTTGAAGATGCTTGGTCTTGTCTTGTCTTGGTCTTGAAGGCACTTGGTCTTGGTCTTGTCTTGGACTTGACCGCGTTTGGACTCGGTCTTGTCTCGGTCTTGAAGATGCTTGGTCCTGGTCTTGTCTTGGACTGGACTGCATTTGGACTCTGTCTTGTCTCGGACTTGAAGGTGCTTGGTCCTGGTCTTGTCTCGGTCTTGAAGGTGCTTGGTCCTGGTCTTGTCTTGGACTCGACCACGTTTGGACTCGGTCTTGTCTCGGTCTTGTCTCGGTCTTGTCTCGGTCTTGAAGGTGCTTGGTCCTGGTCTTGTCTCGGTCTTGAAGGTGCTTGGTCCTGGTCTTGTCTCGGTCTTGAAGGTGCTTGGTCCTGGTCTTGTCTTGGACTCGACCGCGTTTGGACTCGGTCTTGTCTTGGTCTTGTCTTTGATTCGAGGTCTGACACTCGATCATGTTTCATTACAGTCGGTAAATGTGCAGAGGCTGCGAAATCTCACTGCAAAACCTGTAAGAGAATAAAAAAAACACTTGACTCAGTTTGAAGTTGTTTTGTGTTCAGTGTCAGAGGAAACGGGATTAAAAAGAGGTTCTCAAACTGTGGGTCAGGGTCCAAAAATGAACATTAATCAGATCAAGTTCTGGTCTTGGGAAACTGTGGTCTCAAACTGGTCTCGGTCTCGATTAGTCTTGACTAAGTCTTGACACTACACACTTTTTTTCTCATTTTGACCAGTTTTAAACGTTTATGATGTTTTTATTTTGACAAAATAATCAAAAATTGTGAGTGATGAGTTTGAGGGAAAAGCCTTGGTTGTGATTCGTGTCTTTAAAATAGAACTAAGGCATCGTGTTTGGTCTGTTTGTGTAAGAAAAGTGACTCAGCTCTGCCTTTTAATAGTCTTTATTTTGAAGGCGATGTCCGTGTCCCTCTGCGTCTTTAATAATAATCTGCTTCGGTGCTGCTGATGGTGGAGGAGGGTGTGGGCGAGACTTTCTCACAGTTTGGGGATTTGTCTAAACTCACATCACGAGTCCACGAGGTAAAACCCTTTAATATTAGATCCACCGCACGGTTTGAAGTCCAGATCTGGGTCCAAACAGGTTTAAGGTTTAGATTAAAGATCCTTTATTACACAAAAGTGACTCCTGAGAGGTTTAAGAAGTCGTGTTCTAATGTTGTTCCTCCTCACAAACACACACCTGGAGCTGTACTTTGTTTCATTATTTTAAGTAAAACTTTATTATGAGTCTGTCTACATCTCCAAAGCTGAAAACACTGTTCCACCTTGTGATGTCATGAAGTGGTAGTTTTCAAGTGAACAGCTCCTTTCACCTTTAGTTCACTGGAGGTTTGTGGAGTTTAAAAACACAGTGGAACCCTTGTACCTGTCTTGCCACTTAATGACATCACAATTTGGAATAGAGTGTTTTCTGTTTGAGAGAAGAACTCGGCCTAAATGTGCAGGTTTGTGTGTTCGACATAAACAGATCTGTACAGAAAAAACTAAAACGTGGTGGTTTGTTGCAAGTTTTCCAATCAGTGAGAACAGCTCTTGGAAAAAACACCAAAACTTTAAACTAGGGCCGGGCACTTTAACGCATTCATTTTGTGTTAACTAATTAAGTTATTAATGCCGACAATTATTTTAACGCCATTAACGCAGTTTTAATTATTTATTTATTTATTTTATTGTAAACGTCTGTTTCTCACTGACTTTTATTTTGAAAAAGTCCACCGCGAGCGTTTCTTTAAGTTTGACGTCTTTTCTTTACAGTTTTTTCACTTTTTTCTGACCACGTGAGATGCATCGTGTCCGAGCCTCCGAGAGGCTCCGGCTCCGGTCGCGGGTTCGGCTGTGGGCTGTGGCTCTGACCGGACGAGCTGTGGCTCTGAGCTGAGCGTCTTTCTTTAGTTCAGCGCTGCAGGGGGAGTCACTGATTTACCCAGATACCATTGGAAGAAAAAATGTGATTGGTCCATTTCCATTCCATTATATTAACCCTTTGTTTCTGTAGAAATATTAGTTCAAGTTTATAACAATGAAATTAAAATTATTACTAGTGCCGTGCATAAAAAAAATATTGAATAATTATATCAGTTGTACAAAAGTCCATTCAGTATTTTTTCTTGGTCCTTCACTGAAAACCTTGAAGTCTCTGAGGTTCTGTGAAAGAAATGTTCTGTTTGCACAACAAATGTTTGACTCTTTCATTTACATTTCCAATAAAAGTCACTATACTCTACTTTTTTAATTCATTAATTGGTTTTGCATATAACATGCGATTAATCGTGATTAATTTTAAAAATTTTTGCCCAGCCCTACTTTAAACACAACAAAATCCAGGCTCTCCAAAAAGTTAAAATCGCATGAGGAAAAGTAGAGTTAAAAGGCTTTTATTTCGATGGCCGACCCCGGTTTTGGTCGACTTTTAAGTTTTTTGGAGTGCCTGGGCTTCGATTAGAAAACGGTGAAAGTGCGAGTAGTGACTGTGCTGAAGGTTTGGATCAGTCTCCAGGGAAATGTCCTCAATAAGTTTGTACTAAACGTGTGTGTTCAGGTAACGGCGTGGTCCCGGTGCACATCTCGCCCACCAGCTCCAGGCCCAAACCCGGCAGCAGGTCCGGCAGCAGGTCCGGGTCTGTGGCCGGAGGGTCCCCCAGACCCTCCCTGTGCCGCCAGCCCAGCACCAGCCCGGACGCCGCGCAGGACGGATCCAAACCCAGAGACTACCTGTTCCTCGCCATCCTCTCCTGCTTCTGCCCCCTGTGGCCCATCAACATCGTCGCTCTCACCTTCTCCGTCATGGTACGAAACCCCTCCCCCCTCTTCCTCACGCACGTCTGGGAGGGCATCTGACACAACACGACATCTGCAGATTCACTGGAGACATTTGACCAGCAGGAGGACGGGAGGGCATCTGACACACAGGGACACAGGATCAGTGTGACGTCGCCCCAACAAACACAAACCTACAAAAACTCTGTCAGTCGTTTGTGTCGTTTTAGTTTTTGACAATATTAATGATTCTTTTACAGCTCCAGGAAACTTAAATAAAATGTTTGTGCTTCGATTGTGCTGCAAAAAGTTTGGTTTGTGTGATTCTGCAAGGTGGCTTAGTGTTTAGCACTCATGCCTCACAGCAAGAAGGTTCCGGGTTCGGTCGCCCGGGGCCTTTCTGTGTGGAGTTTCTCCTCGTGTCTGGATGAGTTTCCTCCATCAACCCAAAACATGTTCCAGGTCTCCAGAACCGTTGATAGTCAAAGTCAGTTTAATAAAATCAATCTGTGAACCTGTCCAGGGACAATCTGATGTAATAAAAAAAAAAAAAAGAAAAAGAAATAATGAACAGTTTTATTTTGGGTTGATGAGTCAAAATGTGAAAAAGGCTCAAAACAGCAGAAAATTAAACCAAATGTTTGTGTTTGGTTTGTGTTGTTTTGTGTGTGTCTGTTTTCATTTCTGTGAGTTTATTTCTAAAATGATTCATTATTATTTTTGCATAAATTATATTTTGGTCATTTCTGTTCAACTGACGACAGCGACTTTAACAAAACTCCACAAAACTTGTGAAGAGAAACGAGTCGAGTCTGTGGAAAAGTCTGGATCAGTCTGGAGTCACTCGCTTTTGATTTATGTTTTATATAATAACACAGACTTTTCCACAGCCTCAGGTCGTTTCTCTTCAGTAGTTTAGTGGAGTTTTGTTAAAGTCGCTGTCGTCAGATGAGCAGAAATGACCTCACAAAACAGCAAAAGCAAAATACAAACATTTGGTTTAATTTTCTGCTGTTTTGAGGCTGTTTCACATTTTGAGGGGCTGGACGACGTCATCGACCAAAATAAAACTGTTCATTAAGAATCAGAATCACACAATCCAAACTTTTTGCAGCACAATCGAAGCTCAAACAATTGACAGAGTTTTGTGTCGTTTTATTTCATTTTGAAGTTTCTTGGAGGCTGATGACCCCAGTTTGATCTGTAAAAGAATCATTAATATTTCCAAAACTAAAACAACACAAATAATTGTCGTAGTTTTTGTAGGTTTGTGTTTGATGGTGGTGACTTCTCGCAGGTGGATCCAGGGGGGACGGGAGGGCATCTGACACACAGCTCATGTTCGTGCCGTGGTGTAAAGTGACTCTGTGCTCCCCCTTGTGTTCAGTCGAGGAACAGCCTGCAGCAGGAACGTGGACGGCGCGCGGCGTCTGGGTCGAAACGCCATGATCCTGTCGGTCGTGTCCATTCTGGGAGGAATCGCCATCATCACCGCCGCCATCGTCTTCAACTGGGGCCGTGAGTTTTCCACACGCAAACAAACACTCTGAGGGCGCTAAAGGTGCACTCTGGAACTTTTCTGGGTCGAGTTTCCGCGATGATGCGATCTCATTCTCACTCATCAAAACGTTTAAACGAAGATTCACACAGATTTTTTTCTTGTTCTGACATTGCCTAAACTTTAGTTCAGCTCCACACTGGCCACGTTTTATATGATGTTTTTTAATCCAAATTAATTGTTCTGAATTAAATAGTTTGGAATGAGACCTGGACTTTGTTCTATGTTCAGACTGCAGGGCTTAAAGGTTGTATAGAGTCTTTGCACCGTCACATGTCGCCATAGCAACAGTACCTACGCACCGCACGACACCGGGCAACACTATGTCACTATGTCACTATGTCACTATGTCACTGACTTCAGCATCGGAGAAACATGGGCAGGTTTTGTGGCAGGTTTTGTTGTGTATTTTGTTGTTCTAGAAGCTCTGAAAGGGATAAAACAATTCTATTCTTCACTGTTCCTCTGGAAATGACTCATCAGGATCAAACAAGGGAAATATCAAAAAAAAAAAAAGTGAATTATGTCTCGAGAACATAAACCACGAAGAGATTTCCAGTGGTCCCATCAAGACACACTCACGTCACTTTCATCAAGGTGTTTGTTATTTAAATAGTTTCATAGTTTATTTAATGAGAGAAACACATTTACTGAACTAAAATGTAAAAAGAAACATTTGCAGTGTGAGTGTGAGTAGAAACTGGATGTTCCAGCACATATAAACATGTCACTCGTCGTAGGACCAGGTTTTCTTTATTGTCTTGTTTATCCACAACTTTGTCTTCTAGAATTAATCATTTTTTGTGAGTGGATCTTTGTAACGTTTGTGAGGATCTTTTCATGGTCGATTCTTTGGAGGTTCGACTCACAGACTCTTCGACTCGTGCGTCGTGTTGATCACAGGAGCCAGTGTGGGTTCGTTGAATCATAAACTAGTGCAGCTTTTAGTTCAGTAAATGTTCTTCTCTCATTAAATAAACTATGAAACTATTTAAATAGCAAATACCTTGATGAAACTTCAGGTAACTTGATGGGACCATTGGAAATCTCTTCGTGGTTTATGTTCTCTAACCATAATTCACTTTTTTTTTTGATAATTCCCTTGTTTGATCCTGATGAGTCATTTCCAGAGGAACAGTGAAGAAATTAATCGTTTTATCCTTTCAGAGCGTCTAGATCAACCAAATACACAACAAAACCTGCCCATGTTTCTTCGATGCTGCTGAAGTCAATGACATAGTGACATAGTCACATAGTCACATAGTGTGTCCGGTGTCATGGCGGCGTAGGTACTGTTGCTACAGGGACATGTGACGGTGCAAAGACTCTATAGAGGAAAGTGAAATACAGCGACAGTCCTTTTTCAAACGTTGTACATGTTTGACACCACCTTCCTCCTCCACAGCTCCTTCAGTAGAAACATCTCCTCCCGCCTCTTTACTCTAGAGTCACGTTTGTTTACAGTCGGTGCGCGTTCAGAATCACTGTTGAAGTGACCTGTCTAAAGGTAATTTAGTGACCGATGCATCAGTTTTTAGACCCTTCGTCTGCTTCATTCGCGCCATCGCTGGAAGGAATCTTCAAGAATCACCTCAGTTTGTCTTCGCTCCTTTTCTCCTTCTCTTCTTCTTTCAGCAGCCTCAAAAATCGTCTTTCTTTTGCGTTGAACCGGTCGTGGATTTTCATCCGCCGTCGCGACAAACTTTGTGCGAATTGCGAGGAAGCGACAGTTTGTAAAAGCCTCTAAGAACCGCTGCATAAACCACGAAATCCCAGCGCGCTGACGAGTCACTTACACTAGAAACGTAGGGAGTTTGATGGACAACACAACAGCCAATAGAAAATGAGGGAGCCTCGTTTTCTATTGGCTGATGTTTATCTGGCCTCAACACGTCCACAGTCGATAGATTTAGATTTTTCTTTCAAAGCTGCTGCGTCTCTGTAATGGTATTTTAAACTTTCACTGACAATTTGAAACTTAAAAAATATCCTCCATACAACCTTTAATGCTCATTTCAGATTTTTGTTGTGAGGTCGATCACATTTCCAGTTAAATGACCTGTGTGTGATCTCCAGTGTGAACATTAAACGCCTCAAAAGTGTCCCGCGTGAGCACTGGAGACACGACAGCGAAACCTAAACACGGACGCAGCATCGAGCACCGGGACACAGATGTGCTGTAAACAAACTCACTGAGTGGAACAGAGTCTCCACGGAGCCAGAGCCCAAACGTGAGACTGAGGCACAGCTCCAGAGTTTGTGTCAGACGCAGCTTCGTCTCTACACACAGAAACACACATTCAGTTTGTCGAACAGAAAGGAACGGAGTCAACGAAATTCTTAATGATCAATTATCCATTAGTCGACTACTCATAGCCATCCCTACAATATCTCGATATTTTAAACATATCGAGATATTTTTTAAACTCGATATGGATTTTTCACACATCGTATACATCAATATAATGCTTATATTCAGTATTGATTTTGCCGCTTCGTTTGTTTGTCTTCTCTGTGGCCGCCTCCGCCTCCCTGATTTTGCTGCTTGAGTCTCGTTCACTCCTCACTGCCTCCGTGAACGCCGAAAGTTGGTGCCAGTGAAAAGCTTCTAGCACCACGAATGTCAAGGAAATTCTGCTCACAAGACAATTCTGTTAGAAAAAACACTCAGAACGACCAAGAGTGGTTTATACTTGCGCGCGAGGAGAGTGGTGAGGCTGTCTGTCTGCTTCCTGCTCTGCCTCTCACCCTCCGAGCAACGCTTTTATTTCAGCATATGACACAAATCCATTACATTTCATGACATCACATTACATATGGTTCACATGTTTTCTCGTGACTAACAACCTTCAACTAAACTGCCTCCCCAGTTCACACTTGATCACATGTCCCAGTCACAGACAGTTACGTAGTTCCCCAAGACTTTCAGTTTAACAGATGATGGAACAAACCCGGTGTTTGTTCCCCTGGTAGATTAGTTTAATCAATCAGTTGACATGTCATTCACCAATCAATCAATCAATCAAACTTTATTTGTATAGCACTTTTCATACATTTGAAATGTAGCACAAAGTGCTTCACATGCAACAGAAAAAATTTACAATATTAAAAAATAACAGCAACCCCCCCACCCCATTATTTCATGCACATATACAACAATAAAACAGAAACATAAAGCTCCTAAAGGTTATAGTAAATATATAAATAGAGCTAAAAACAGATGGAGACTAAATCAAATATTAATGTAATTTAATTAAAAGCAAATAGTAATAATAATAATAATAATGATAAAACAAGTAAAAGTTTCAATTAAAAGCTAAATTAAAAAGATACGTTTTGAGTTTACTTTTAAAAATCTGAACACTCGCAGCGGACCTCAGATCCTCAGGTCGACTGTTCCACAAACGGGGGCCTGGACTCTTGGGACAGTTAAAAGAAAAGTACCTGAGAGTCTGAGAGGCTCATATGATAAAAGCAGATCAGATAAATAAATAGGGCTAAGACCATTAAGAGCTTTATAAACCAATAAAAGAACTTTAAAATCTATCCTGAAGCTCACATTCATATCAGCTGCTGTTTTCATGTCACACGCAGATCACAAAACAAAACACCAAACAATGTTGATAAACTTTATATTTAATCATGATCTATCTTTAACTGATCCACTCTTTAAATGATTAACACTTTAATGAGACTTTAGTGAGAAATACATATATATCATAAAATTCTCTAACAACGAACCTTTTCCACCATTTACAGACAAAACCATCAGCAGCACGTCCTCATATTCCACTGAGTCATGTCCTTTTGTCTGAAAGACGCTGAACAGCATCAGCGGCACGAGGATTGCGCTGTTTATGCCATTGAGCCGTGCACTTAAGTTTCGTTTCTGCTCGTTTCTAAAACATAAACAAGTCTGTGCAAAGCTGCATTAAACACATGATCATCTCAAACAGCTGATGTGGCTCGTAGTCGTTATGTTTATATGTTGTAAAGTTTACTCATGTAAAGTTTATTTATGCAGAAGATTTTAATGAATAATCTGCTGCAGTGTCACTTGTACAACAGAGTTTGAACCGTTGGGTTTGATCTGCAGTGGATTGTGGGATTAAACCTCAGATCCTGACGCTGGTGAAGAACATGGATCTGTTCAAATAATGAACCTCCTGAGCTTCTTCTGCTGAAGGAGCTGATGGTTCTTGTACAGTTACAGAGTTAATGTTGAGTTGTTTTATTTATGAATGAAAAGAAGGAAATATGTATTATTTATTTTATTTTACAGTTCAATTATTATTTATGGTAAATGGTAAATGGTCACATTTTTCTATAGCGCTTTTCCACCTTCAAGGCTCAAAGCGCTTTACAACAAGGAACCACTCACCCATTCACACACACATTCATACACCAGTGTACGCAGACACTGTGGGCAAGGTGGGTTAAGTGTCTTGCCCAAGGACACAACGACAGCATTCATCTGTGGGAGCTGGAATCACACCAGCCAACCTGTGGGTTAGTGGATCTGACGCTCAACCTGTGATGTTTATGTCGAGACCTGGATTCAAACCGCCAACCTTCAGATCAGTGGGCAAATGCTCTACCAACTGAGCAATTATGTAATTAAGTTTTTTTGTAATCTTAAACGTTCCTACATGAACTGCTGACCTCTTACACTTTAATTTAAAAAAAAAAGGACCTTGTGGAATTTGGCAGATTTGTTTTTGCAGTTTTCAGTTTTAGGGCGTTATTTTGGTACAGATATCCAGATATATATCGTATATCGAGATATATCATATATTGAAATATATTTTTTGATCCATATCGCCCAGCCCTACTGCATATTTTTAAATTTTCAGTGGTATTTTTTATTTTTTCGCTGCACCAGGGCCATGGTAATCAACACTGTGATCAAGGACTGAAAAAAGCACGATAGGCCACGTTAAAACAAAGCAAAACTAAACGAGCGAAGAAGAAAAAACGTGCAACATCAGTGCTCACGTCTTCTTTCTTGATTTGTTTTTTTAATACATTAGACTCAGCATTTATTTGGAACCGGCAGTTCAAAATACACACCTGCACTCGGTGTTTAAAGGGACCCGACGGTTTAAACGTGGCTATTATTGGGTATTTTATGGTATTTAAACGCTCTACATGCACGTTGACGCTCTCCGAGTCTTTGCTGTTGTAAACATCTCATGATCTTTGTTCGTTATAAAAACTTGGTCTTTGTTTCTCTCTGCAGTGATCCTGAAGTCCTGATGAGCCCAGACCTCCGGATCTGACCACTGTCCTTCTTCAACATGCAAGCTCCTCCTCCTCCTCTGAAGCTCCTCCTCCTCCTCTGAAGCTCCTCCTCCTCCTCTGAAGCTCCTCCTCCTCCTCTGTAGCTCCTCCTCCTCCTCTGTAGCTCCTCCTCCTCTTCGCCTCTTCCTCCTGATTCGCTCAAACTTCCAAAAACATTATGACGCTTCAGTTTAGTTTCAGTTTTCTTCTTCGCTGTTTGCTGCTGCACGTCACGCATGGTCTTCCTCCCGACTACCTCCAACACAGCGCACAAGCGGCACCACAGCGCCCCCCACTGTTCCTCTGTGGGAGCGACGCCTGTTCGATTTACGGAAACACTCTCCGCTCCAAAACTCAACGGTTTATGCCAAAAACTTAACAGAAAATTGCTGCTGCGAAGTCGAAATGTTTTTAAGACGTGAATAAAAATGATGCAAGTGAAACGTGATGAGCCGTGGATCCTAAAGCTGCTCTCGTTTACAGACTCTCCTGTAATTTACACTTTACTTTACGCTTTACTTTACACTTTACATTTGACTTTAGACTGACCCAAACACCATGAGCTCACGGATTGCCTTTCTTTGAGACTTTTTTAGACGTTTCGCACTCGAGAGAGAAAAGAGATGCTTCGGCCGATTTACGACGGTGGGACCTTGAAAAAACAAGACAAACACGACAAAAACTGGATCAAAAACCAGATCCAAGCCCGGACTTAACCAGGTCTAAATCAAACAGAGGTCTAATGATGGTTTACACTCCAAAATAATTCCACACTGAAGTAAATTTTATTAATAAAACAGAAAAAAGCAGAAAAGGCACATGACCAAAAGTACGATATTGGAACATTTTGTGATATGGAACTGAAAAAACAGAAACAGAAGTAAATTTAAATAAAATTATTTGAGGAAAATAATCAAAATCGTTCCAAAAAATCGGCCATCGTTTGCGCTGGATTCTAAATAATCGGTATCGGCCTTGAAAAAAAAAAATCTCTAAAAACAACCAGGATAAACCGAGGATAATTTTGGATTTAACAAGGAAAATCATGAATAAAATCAACTTTATTTAACATATTCTTGTTTAAAAAAAGTCAGATGAAACCTTGGTGTTACTGTGATATTTCGAATTTGTTGCGATATCAATACTTTTGCGATATATTGTGCAGCCCTGACCCAAACCCTGAGACCCACTGTGCGAAAACTGAGTGAAGTTACGATATTGGAACATTTTGAGATACGGAACTGAAAAAACAGAAACAGAAGTAAATTTAAATAAAATAATTTAAAGAAAATAATCAAAATCCTTCCAAAAAAATCGGCCATCATTTGCTCTGGATTCTAAATAATCGATATCGGCCTCAAAAAAAAAAAAAAAAAACTCTCTAAAAACGACCAGGATAATTTTGGACTCAACAAGGAAAATTATGAATAAAATCAACTTTATTTAACATATTCTTGTTTTTAAAAAAGGCAGATGAAACCTTGGTGTTATTGTACATATCGAATTTGTTGCGATATCGATACTTTTGCGATATATCGTGCAGCCCTGACCCAAACCCTGAGACCCACTGTGCGAAAACTGAGCAAAGTTTTCGCAAAAAAAACCAGAAACAGAAGTAAATTTAAATAAAATAATTTGATTAAATAATCAGAATTGTTCCAAAAATTGGCCATCGTTTGCTCTGGATTCTAAATAATCGGTATCGGCCTAAAAAAAACCCCCCAAAAAACAGCCAGGATAAACTGAGGACAATTTTGCATTTAGGGAAAAATGATGAATAAAATCGTGTTTATTTAACACATTCTTGTTTTTTTTTTTTAATCTGATGAAACCTTGGTGTTATTGCGACATATCGAGTTTGTTGTGATATCAATACTTTTGCGATATATCGTACAGCTCTGACCCAAACCCTGAGACCCACTGTGCGAAAACTGAGCAAAGTTTACAGTCAAAATCCCCCTGAATCTGAGAGACCGACGACAAAACTGATTTTAGATTTACATAATAAATGTTTTTATACAATAAGATGTAAAAAATTCTTCAAACAGAAACACGTATTAGAAAAACCACCTCTTTTTTTAAACCGGTAAAGTCCAGCTGAATCACATTTTCACCGTCAACGTGTTTAAGCGGAAAACCAAAGTGCCCAAACCGTGACCAACGCCGACCGCCGTGTCCCAGACTTTTCTGTGTAAAAAATGAATCTGCAGAAACGTTTTAAAATGAAATTATGGTTTGAATAATGGATTGGCCCTGAGTCGACTCCACTCAAAACTTTATTCAATTATTGACCACAGACGCAGCGAGAGTCACGTGACCTCCTCTGAAAATCCGTTTAGATTCTCCGGATTACAGCAGAGCCAGTTGAACACGACAAAAAATAAAAACAACAACAATTTATTGGTCATTTTAACAGATTTTAAAGGTTAGAGAATTTATAAAACTCTTTTTTGATTAGTTGAATTTAGTCACAAATTTAGAAATGTTCAAATAATTCTTAATATTTTACCTAAATATTTTCTTACATTTAATATATTTAACAATCATTGAAAACACTTTTGGTCCAGTTATTTATTAATTTATTTGAGCAAATTATAAAAACATGTTTACACTTGGATTCAACATAAAAAGCATTTGTATTAAATTAATCAAAGTCCTACAATTTTAATAATTCCTAATGAAATATCTAAACTTGGAGATTTTTAATCAAAGATGTTTTTATTCTCGACGTTTTAAACCAGAATAATTCTTATGCAAAAGCTACGACAGAATCATAAATGAAGCGAAAGGTTTTTCCCACATTCCAAAATGAGAATCGGATCTTGTGCCTGTTACGAATCCCGTTTTAAAAGTTGAACCTCTGAGTATTTTCACTTTCACGTTTGGACTGTTGGAGCAGATTTGAATGTAGATTTTGGGACAGAAATTTGAGATTTTTAACTCCTCCTCTTCCTGAATCACAACGACGCTTTGGAATTTGCTGCTGACATTTTGGGAACAAACTCCCGGATTTTGCCTGTTTTTGAATGTGACTTTTGACCTTTCGGATCCTATGCATGTTTACTATATTTACTACGAACGACTGTCGCCTCCGTTAGCCGCGGGCGCTAACAGAAGCTAACGGACGCTAACGCAGAAGCACCTTGCACATAAACTGGAAAATGTGCAACGTTTGCCTGAAGATTTTATCATGAACTTTGGACTTTTGAGCAAAAAAACTGAACTGTCGCTCGAGTTACTCAGCGCCACAAAATGCACACTTTTAAAACTTTTAACTTTGAACTTTGGCCCCTTTCGCAGCGACCAAACGCCGTTGTGGCTTTTACGTTTTATTTCGTGTTTCTGTTCACAAAACCTCGGCACAAATGTTACTTTTCTTTTCCGTCGTGGCGTGGTCTGGGATCAGGTCCTGCGCCGTTTGGAGAGACACGGGTTTATATGTTTTATTATAACTGCGGATGCATCGATCCGGCGTTTTCTGTTCCCGTATCGACGCCGATACTTCTGTATCTGCCGATACCAGTGTAGGGACGGAAAATAGAACACAAACACAAACGACGTATGATCAAATATTAACATACAGTGTTGCCAGATTGGGTTTAGTGATTTCCACCCAATCATGTAAAAACAACGCCCAACAACATTTTGTCACAGAAAACATTTAATCTTTGAGTAAACGTGTGTGCTCCACTGTTGGGCTTTTTAAAAACTTTGCCAGGATTGAGAAAACAGGTTATATGTCAAACCGAATTTTCAGAAAAGTCATTTAGCCAAATATGAAAAAATCAAATGAAAATCATCAGCGGTCGACTAAAACCTCGACTACGACAAGAACAGAAAACACAGAACCTGAGAGTCAAAGAGCGAAGAACTGAATCTGTAACAGCTGAACACCGGGACGTCTGAACATATCGAACGTATGTTTATTTGTGCACAGACCAGAGCTCGTCCAAACTGGCAACACGGCATACGTCATTATAAGTGTGTTTTGTAACTGTTATTTATCATTTAAAGTAAAAAAAAAGTTAAACAATAATAAGATGTTTTGGATCAATATTGGCCAGTAAATTACACCAATTTATAAACCGAAACAGTTGTTTCCTGTTTGGTATCGGGGCGTCCGCAGTTATGACTTTTACTCGCTCTTGTGTCTCGGAGCAGTTCTGAGTTTGGTCGCTGTGAAAGAGGGCGTCCTGTTGCTGCTGCGACGCCAACGCCGCGTGGATCTGACACGGGAACTGAAACTAACCCCATTTTACTTCAGATAAATGCAGATGGTTTGGGTTTGGGTTTGTTCTCGCGGCTCTGAGGAGGGTTAGTGCGATCGGGACGGTCACAACTTTGGATTCAGGTCAGGAACAGAATTAAGTTTGTAAAGATGTCGCCTACAGCTTCATCGGCCACACACTACAGGAGAATTTGTCCAATTTTGGCTGCGATTTTCTTCTCCTTGAGCTCAGGGAGACGTGACCGGACTTTGTGTCTTCGTGTGTGATTTGTGTGCAGTGTCAGTGAGATTCTGAGCTGCTCTTTCACATCGTACACAGCAAAAACAATAAAACACAGCGTCAGGAGCAAACGGAGTTAAAGACACAGGCGAAAATAATTATTACTCACCTCTTGTAAAGTTGTAAAGTTAAACTGCAGTGTTTTTATTCATATTATCCACAGAAATTGTCCTCTGTAAATAATGAGTCCAGTCCACAAAATGTCTGGGCTGTGAATCCAGTTTTTTGAGTGGTAATTTAAAAGTAAAAAGGTGAGAGTAGTTCCTCACACGTGTCTGTTTCCATCCACACAGCGCACGGATCGAGCTGAAGCCGAAGCTGAAGCTGCAGATTCTCCACAGTGACTCAACTTCCCCAACACTTTATCTCCAATCTTTGATGCTCCACATTTCACAAATAATAATCACACCGTTTGGACTTGGATCTAAACCAGAAGTGCAGAGTCTGAGCTTTGACACTTTAGAGTCTCAGAGCGACTGGAGACAGGAAATCGAGCTCTAGAGTCCTGCCCGCTCCTTTGTTGCTCACACACGTTTAAAAATTGTCTAAGACCGAAAAGTCCTGTAGTGTGTGGCGACTTTTACTCCATAAAATATAAAATAAAACATTAAATATCAATAGTAAAACAGTATTATCACGTGTTTGGCCTGTTACCGTGGCAACCAGAGAGACATCCAGACCCGACGATCAGCACTGACCCTCTGAGGTGCATTGTGGGTCCTGTAGTTACACACACACAGAGCAGAGGTGCATTGTGGGTTCTGTAGTTACACACACACACAGAGCAGAGGTGCATTGTGGGTTCTGTAGTTACACACACACACAGAGCAGAGGTGCATTGTGGATCCTGTAGTTACACACACACACAGAGCAGAGGTGCATTGTGGATCCTGTAGTTACACACACACAGAGCAGAGGTGCATTGTGGGTCGGCGTCGCAGCAGGAACGCGTTGCCTTTGCACCTGCGCCTGTGTGACCTGCAGACAGGGGGCGGCGTTCCCCTCGGCTCGTACTGTATGTAGCATGTCTCTAATAATCACAAACGTGAATGCTGTTTGACAGATGCTGCCCGCTTCCGTCTGACCCTCTAGCGCCCTCGCCTGGATTCAGACTGTTATTACTCCTCATTTCACCCTGTAACCTCCACTCCAGACGCCGTCACACAGGACCAGACCTTCAGCTCCATTAGTCAGTTCGTTATCTCTAATTAGTCTTTCAGTTGTTTATCAAATATCTGTCTCACTGAGGGTGAAAGTGCACGCCGTCGTGTCCTTAGGCAAGACACTTCACCCACGTCACCTCCAGCGTTCACTGGTGTGTGAATGAGTGAGCCCACGATCCCGAGGCCAAACCGCATCAGCTGATTGGAAAATTCGGATCTGCTCTAGAATTTACTTACTTGTATTTATTTATTTTCTGAGACAACATCAGGTTTTAAGTGTCAGAAAGTGCACGAGGTGGAGCTGTCACTTTTTCTTTAGGTTTAGGGGCAGGAATTTGACAGAACAACGTTAGGGGGAAAATTGCCACATTTACATGAGAGCTTTAAATCTAAATAAAATAATTTAATTCTGAATAAAAATCTATTCCACTTTAAAAAGACCATGTTAACAATTAACTCCTAATGATTAATCTGAATTCAACTTAATTCTGAAGTAAGTGGGTGGTTTATTCTGAGCGAGTTTGTTTGGTGGATCCTGTTTGTGGTTTGTTGTTGTTAAAATGCTGCTGGTGCTTCATGCTCATTGTGTCGTCCTTCTGACGTGACGATCCGGTTCCACCAGTCGTGTCTCAGGACTTTGATCCACGTCTCTTTGGATTTGTGAGCGGGATGCGGGAGTGGGCTGAGCTTTTGTCTTCTTCCTCCTTTTCCGACACTCTTCCCTTCTCCTCCTCAGCTCACAGACGGAAAGTGTGACGAGACGATTCTCCAGCCACTGCACAACAGTTATCATCACAACCACTGTGGGTTTTAAAAGTCTTGACGGTGTTTGTGTCCGTGGAGGAACCACAAACCCAGACGACGGAAAAGACACGAGCAGCTTGAGTCTGTGTTTTCTTCCCAAAGACATAAATCTGTTGGTGTCTCTGTCCAATCAGAACCTTCCCCACCCCCAGACGCTCACGCACATGAAAAAAAACAAAAAAACATGTAAATCTCAATTCAGAATTATTATTTCCATTTTCCAAACTATTTAATTCA